GATGTTGGCTGGTTCTGCCGTATATCTTGAGGGTGTCGACGTTTTCGAGCTTGGAATCCTATCATGAATTAACTTATTATACGCGCGATGATTAAAATGTTAGCTCCTACAAAGCATTGGTGTTGATGTTGCTAGGAATAAGGTACGTTGACGAATTGATTAGCACTTTACCCATCTGGGTATGGGCGGATGTTCATGCATTAAGCTCCTCCCGCCAAGTGTGGTACCGGTGCCTAGGTACCTAAGTATGCTCCAAGAGGCGAGCTCTACCTAAAGGCTCCCAGGTAAGGCAGAACCTTGGATGCTGAGCAACAATTTTTTTGATATACCACGTCGTACAAAAATTCCTACCTCAGGCATTAATTTTAGCATAGAACTATTTCAGCTCTGCCTAAGCCCATAAAGTGATTGAGTGGTGCCTGGCCATCAGACCTGGCAGGTGCCGAAGACCGTCGCACCTGACACTGTAGTTTGGTTCAGTCAGCTCTAGGGTGGGTGGCTGGCCGCGCTTTTGGTTTGTTTATACATTTGCCCCTCCATGACACCCCGCCAAAAAATCTCGCTTGTCCCTGGAAACCTTGCAGCAGCTCCAACGTCACCTGTTTGGACTCCATCATCCACAAACTTTCCTGGGGCACTTTGAAGGGCTCAGAACTCTCCAAACCTGGGCGCCGCGGCTCTTTCCCCCAATTTCACTCCTGCACCCATCGGTCACCGGATTTTTCACTGCGCTTTCCGGTGCGCGTCTCAATTTCCGTTCCTGGCCCGTCGACACTTCCACTAAATTCGACCGACCGCCTCGATACTCCGATCAAAATGGCTGACCTTGCAAGCCGGATCACGAAGCCAGCGGACGATGCTGCACCTGCATCTGAGGCGCCTGCAGCTGAGGCGCCTGCAGCAACCGATGCCGCTGCTGCTGAAACCCCCGTTGGCGATGCTCAGAATGATGGCGCTGTCGAGAGCCTTGGCGGCTCAGGACTCCAGGAGCCTGGTTACGAAGTTGAGATCACTCTGAGCGACCTTCAGCAAAACGAATCCACCCCATTCCATTCTGCGACGACTTGGGAAGATATTGGCCTGTACGTGATTAAATGACCTCACCGATGATTGAATTTGCCTAACATAGAAATGACCTGTCATAGGCGCGAAGAGCTTCACAAGGGCCTCTTGGCGCTGAACTTCCTGAAGCCTTCCAAGGTGCAAGGCAAATCGCTCCCTCTCATGCTGAGCAACCCCCCTACAAACATGTTGGCACAGTCACAATCTGGAACTGGAAAGACCGCTGCTTTCGTCACCGCGATATTGTCGCGTGTTGATTTTAGCAACCCTGATCAACCCCAGGCTTTGGCTCTGGCACCCAGCCGTGAGCTTGCTCGTCAGATTGAGGAGGTTATCCGAGCCATCGGACATTTCGTCCAGAACTTGAAGATTGCACCCGCTGTTCCTGGTGCTCTTCCTCGCGGCGAACCGGTTCGTTCTGCTGTTGTCGTGGGCACACCAGGAACTGTCATGGACATCATTCGCCGTCGGCAATTGGATGTCTCACAGTTGAAGGTTCTTGTTCTTGACGAAGCAGATAATATGCTGGACCAGCAAGGTCTTGGCGACCAGTGTATGAGGGTCAAGGGGTATGTCCTCACTTTGCTCAACTACAATCCATTGCCCACGCTAACCTGGAAACAAGCATGCTGCCTAAAACCATCCAGACTCTTCTCTTCTCCGCCACATTCCCCGAGAAGGTTCTTCAATACGCAAACAAGTTCGCGCCTAATGCGCATTCACTTAAGCTCCAGCGTAGCGATCTCACGGTCAAGGGCATTTCCCAGATGTTTATCGATTGCCCCAACGACACCACAAAGTACGACATTCTCTGCCGCCTGTATGGCCTCATGACCATTGGACAGTCCGTCATCTTCGTCAAGGTACTTTCACGAAACGGTCCCTGCTTTGTATTGGCCAACGGTTGTGCTGATTTCCGATGATTTAGACTCGAGAGAGCGCCAATGAGATCCAGCGACGAATGGTTGGAGACGGACACAAGGTCTCAGCTCTGCACGCCGCCTTTGATGGATCCGAACGAGACGAGCTTCTTGCTAAATTCCGCAGTGGTGAGAGCAAAGTCCTGATCGCTACCAATGTTATCGCTCGAGGTATCGACGTGTCCAGCGTGTCCATGGTCATCAACTACGACATTCCCATGAAGGGACGAGGAGATACCGAGCCTGATACTGAGACATACCTTCACCGAATTGGACGAACCGGTCGGTTTGGCCGAGTCGGAGTCAGTATCAGCTTCGTGTACGACAAGAAGAGCTATGACGCTCTCAGCTCCATTGCCACTCATTATGGCATTGATCTCGTGAAGCTCGACACTGACGACTGGGATGAGGCCGAGGAACGTGTTAAGGATGTGATCAAGAAGAACCGAGCGCAAGCCGCGTATGCACCCAGCGCAACCGACCCCCAGAAAACAGGAGCTGCTTAGGGATGGCCTAATGGAGGATGGGGTTCCATGGATTGGGGATATCCTATTATATCCTAATTACGATGTGGTAGCGAGCGTAGGACCGAGTGGAGTCCCGCGAGAAGGTGTGAATGCGGTAGAGAAAGAAACGCCTGAGGGTGGCTAGCTGACCTTGGCCAAAAAAATTGTTTTGGCACATGTTCGTGATACTTAGCTTAGAACGATGACACAAGATACCAATGAAACCTGGAATGAAACCAAGATGCTGATCTCTACATCTAATCCAACCAACGAATTCTGTGTATCCTTTGGAGATGCTACCCAACCTCGATATCATGTGGTCTTGGAGGATCCATAATATGGAAATGATCTGCCAGTCTCTACTGTTCAGCCCAGACAAGGCGAGGCGACTCTGTCTGCCTGGTGCAGTGAGGCTCGCCCCCCGAACGAGCGGCTTCGTAGCACATGGGAGCTTCTTCTAAGCTTTCGAACAACGATGAGGGCAATCGGAAATGGACACATTACACGCCTGTACCGACATGATATCTCATTGATCAGCCCCAAGGGGCCCAAGTGCAAATCTCATGCTAGGGTGGAGCGAGATGCGATGGGCTACGAGCCAGGTATTGGGCATCGCTCCGTATTATTATGTGCTGCTACAAGTTGTACAGGGAACTGCGCTCTCGCTTGCGATTCGGGGCTGCTCGCGCATGAATATGCCGTCTCACTTGCCTCCAACCCGAACTCCACAAAACTGCTGTCTTGATAACCATTGACCTACCTACCTCGGATACTCTGCATGCAGGTCGTGGATGCTGCCCAAAGAAGAACCACGGCGAAGCGCCGCTGCAATGCGCTGTGCTGTGGTGTGCAGCGCAGTGCATTGCAGCAAGACCAAGACATTTGGGCAATCACTTGTAGAGTTTGGGATTGCCTAAGAGAGCAACCCATCGTAAGCCCGTGCCGGCATCGTTCACACCCTCATTTTTTTTTTAGCTGCCCACGGAAGGGCTAAGCAAAGTGAGGCAATCCGGGAGGGACGAACCGGACGTGCATGGATCGGCTAGAAGAGGCGGGAGGACTCGAGCCACGTCACATGTTTGGGGGAGAAGGACGATATCGCTCGCTCTCTCGCGACCACTACCCTCGACTCTCGCCCTGCCCCGGGTGCTGCCCCAGCTTTGCGTTTTCCTTTCTTTTTTCCTTCGGGAATGGCTGCTGCGGGGAGCTGGGCAGGTATCCAATTGCCTGGCGAAGACTGAAGATGGCACTTAGATTTACCTAGGGAGCTTTGGCCACTAGAAGCTGCCCAAGCCTACAGGGGAGCCATCCACTGCAAAATACAAGTCAGGTAGAATCGGTGGGCTACAGGTAGGTACCTGATAAGGGGTCTCCTGGGAGGTACCTACCGCGCTAGGCAAGTGGCTACGAATATCCCAGGTACCGACCCAGTAGGAATCAATCGATTTTTTCCTCTCGCGACTTGCCAACACATCGACCAGCCCCCCTCCATTAACCATGACGGTGCCCGCCGGCTGCTGAAGATCCCGCCCCGGGCTTGGAAACGAACCAGTGTGGTTGGACTGTCGCTCTGCAGCCAGTTATGCCAATTGTTCCGATCAGGGATGTTGGGCCGTGATCTGGGCACCGGCCGGAGCGTGACCAGAACGGCCTCCCCCTTCTCCCGACATGCTGCACCTCAAGCCCAACACCCAGGCAACGTGGCGCCAGTTGTGCCTGCATGGAGCCAACCGAGCCCAAGGCGCTACGCTACCGTCTATCGTCAGCGGGGAGCAATATTTCCCAACCTGCCCACGCTTGCTTGGGCCACAGACGTGTGGGGGGGGGGGAGTGGGTTCTGCGCTGCTCGTCATAGGTGGTTGGTATTAATTATCATCTTTTTTTTATGTTCTGGTAGACAAGTCTCTCACCCAGGCCTATGTCGCTGTCGACAAACCCCTCAGTGGGATGATTCTTGGCCTGTTTCGGAATGTGCTGGCCGTGTCAGTGGTGTTGTGCTTCTATGTAATGGGCGTGCCATGCCTCATTTTCCTGGCGATCGACCTGGTGGCTTTTGGCACACGTTAACGAGCAACCCATTTATATTAATTCTGTCACCATCTTGCCGGATCTTATAGTCCCTGTCTAGCATTTGCCTTACCGCGCTTTTGTCTTGTCTTGGCTGCGGACATCCTCGTTTATCGCTTCTGCCGCCTTTTTGCCCCCATTCGCAGCCCATTGATTCATTTGTGAAGTCCACCGCAAGTCTGCAGAACAGGTCCCAGCCCATATCATTTGTTTCGTTCGATTTGCTCCCTTCGTCTTCCCTGCTGATCGTTCCCTCTTCTTCTGTTATCGGCCATCCATCTGACTAACTCCTTCGCCTCACTCTTCCCAACCCTCTTCCCTGCCACCCTACTGCGGCTACCCGAATCGAATGCCCAACCCTCTGTGGAGCTTACATGGAAGTTCGAGTCCAAGCTCACACACTTCGAGATATTAGTGCTCTTGGGCCGTTAGCGGCTGCGAAAGCATGTCTCATGTTAAATTTACTCCGGCGTATTCCTTCTACGACGTGCAATACTCTGACTTCTCCAACATCAACTACACACAGCCTGACTACTCCGACGATGATTTAGGATCAGGCGAGGAAGGTGAGGAAGCGTACCCGTGAATTGAAGCCACACACCCCCGGCTTCCCGACTTGCTCTTTGGGGACTAAAAATTTCCAAACAGGACAGGATCGGCCACCTGATGATTACAGGCCCAGGGAGCAGCTGCCGCTTTCTTATAGTCCTCACCAACCCAGGGAGGAGAAGCACAAGAAGGAGAAGAAGGACAAGAAGAAGGACAAGTCCAAGAGGCACCACATGAGTGACACGGCTGGATTGCCAGAGGCACCCGACGCCCCTGCTGATAGTGGTGCCGCGGTGCCTCCCGGGCGGGCTGAGAAGGACTCGTGGCCCCTGCCCACCAGCAAAACGCCCAAGAAGAAAAAGAAGAAATCTTCAAAGGAGAAGGAGTCTTCAAAGGAGAAGGACGCTGCGAAAGCGCCTGCGCCCGCGGAACCTGAAAAACCCCCAGCCCCAGATGCTCCAGCTGAGTCTCAAGAGGAATCAAAAGACGAAGCAAATGACGAGTCAAAGGAGGAACCGGAGGCAGAGGAGGTAAAAGAGGAGCCAAAAGACGAGCCAGCCGAACAGCCAATTGAGGAGGAGGTAAAAGAGGAAGTCAAGGAGAAATCACCTCCCGAAGAGCCTGCCTCTCCTAAGAAAAGCAAGAAGGACACGAAGAAAGACAAGAAGAAGGACAAGAAAGCCGCCAAAAAGGCGGAGAAGTCAGCAACGAAGGAGAAGGGCCACTCACCGAAGGACGAAGCGCCAAAGGAGGCAGAGAAGCCCGCCGACGACACCCCCGCCGCGGCCACCAATGGGGAAGCGGACAAGGAATCTCCCGCGCCAGACGACAAAGTTGACGAATCCGCCGAGGCGCCGGAGGCATCCGAATCAGCTGCTGCGCCCGAAACAGAGGAGGATTCCGCGAAATCTGCTGAAGAGTCAAAACCAGCCGATGGGCCGGCCGCCGCTGAGGAATCTAAGCCAGCCGAGGAGGAACCTGATGTGTCTGAAGAAGCCCCGGCAGAAGAAGAAAAGAAGGCTGTTGAGGAGGAGGACCACGCAACTGAGGATGCCAAGCCGGCCGAAGACGCCAAGGCTGGCGAGGAAGAATCAAAGGCGGCTGAGGAAGGCAACTCAAGCGATGAAGCCCCGGCAACTGGAGAAACGAAGGCTGTGGAAGGAGCTCCGGCAGTAGATGAAGAAGCTGCTGTATCCGAAGAAATCAAGGCTAGCGAAGACGAGTCTAAGGGAGCTGAAGAAGCACCCGCCACCGAAGAAGTACCCCCAGTTGAGGAAACACCCGCGGCTGAGGAATTGAAAGGAGCTGAAGAAACGAAGGCTGCGGAAGCTTCAGCAGCTGAGGAAACTGCGGTAGCTGAAGAAACCAAGGCTAGCGAAGAAGAGTCTAAGGGGGCTCAAGAAGCACCCTCCACCGAAGAAGCTCCAATAGCTGAGGAAACACCAGCAGCTGAAGATTCGAAAGGAGCTGAAGTAACGAAGCCTGCGGAAGCTCCGGCAACTGAGGAAGCTCCGGCAACTGAGGAAGCTCCGGCAACTGAGGAAGCTGCTGCAGCCGAAGGAACCAAGGCTGGTGGAGAAGAGTCTAAGGGGACCGAAGAAGCACCCTCCGCCGAAGGATCGAAAGTAGCTGAAGAAACTGCTGCACCTGAAGAAACGAAGGCTGATGAAGAAGAAACATCCTCTACCGAAGAAGCTGCTGTATCCGAAGAAACAAAGGCTGGCGGAGAAGAGTCTAAGGGGACTGAAGAAGCATCCTCCATTGAAGAAGCACCCTCTACCGAAGAAGCACCCTCTACCGAAGAAGCACCCTCTACCGAAGAAGCTCCTGCAGCCGAAGGATCGAAAGTAGCTGAAGAAGCTGCTGCATCTGACGAAACAAAGGCTGGTGAAGAAGAGCCTAAGGGAGCTGAAGAAGCACCCTCCGCCGAGAAAACACCCTCTACCGAAGAAACTCCCGCAGCCGAAGGATCGAAAGTAGCTGAAGAGACTGCCGCATCTGACGAAACAAAGGCGGGTGAAGAAGAGCTTAAGGGGACCGAAGAAGCACCTTCCGCCGAGGGAACACCCGCAGCCCAAGAAACCCCTGCAACCGAAGAATCGAAAGCGGGCGAGGAAGAAACTAAACCCGCCGAGGAGGCTACGATATTGGCAGAATCTAAGGCAGCCGACGGCGGCCCAGTAACCGATGAAGCTCCGGAAACTGAGGAATCGGAAGTCATTGAAGAGGCATCGGCAGCTGAAGAAACTGCTGTATCCGAAGAAGTCAAAGCTAGCGAAGAAGAGTCTGAGGCAGCTGAACCAAAATTAGTTGCAGAAGCATCCGAAGCTGAAGAATCGAAAGGAGCTGAAGAACCCTCTTCCGCCGAAGAAACTCCAAAGGCTGAAGAAGCACCGGCAGCGGAAGGGGAACCCAAGCTAACGGGGGAAGCGGCGCCATCTACGGAACCAAAGACAGCTGACGAAGCCCCAGCAGTGGATGAGTCGAAAGCAGCCGAAGAACCCGCAGCTGAAGAAGAAATCAAGCCTGCCGAGGTAGCTGCGTCATCTACGGAAACAAAGCCATCCGAAGAATCCAAAGCAGCCGAAGAAGCACCCTCAGCCGAAGAATCACCAACAGTTGAAGAATCGCCAGCAGTTGAAGAGTCACCCGCAGTTGAAGAGTCACCAGCAGTTGAATCGCCAGCCGCTGAGGAAGCTGCAGAGTCTGAGGAAATTCAGCCAGCCGAGGAGAAAACTAAACCCACTGGGGAAGCTCCAACGGCCGAAGAAGTTCCCAGAGCTGAGCAAGCTGCGGCATCTGCAGAGTCAAAGGCGCCGGATGAAACAACAGCCACTGAAGAAACCAAGGTTGCTGGAGATGAAGCTACATCGGCCGAGGAAGCAGCGACACCTGCAGAATCTAACACAGCTGTTGAAGCCGCAGCCGTTGAAGAAACTAAGGCTGCCGAGAAAGCCCCGGTAACTGAGGAAGAAATCAAACCAGCGGAGGAGGCTGCCGTGTCAACAGAATCCAAGGTAGCCGAAGAGACTGAGGTACCGAAAGAAGCCCCAGCAGCTGAGGAGACTGTGGTATCCGAAGAAACCAAGGCTGGTGAAGCAGAGTCCAACGCAGCTGAAGAGACGAAGGCTGCTGAAGAATCTAAACAAGCCGAGGAAGCTGCAGCGTCCGAGAAAGCCCAGGCAGCTGAAGACACTCCGGTAACTGAAGAAGGGATCGAACCAGCCGAGGCAGCTGTATCTGAAGAAGCCAGTGCGACCGAGGAAGCCAAGGTAGCCGAGGACACTCCGTTAGCTGAAGAAGAAATCAAACCAACTGAGGCAGTTGTTTCTGAAGAAGCCAATGCAACCAAGGAAACCCCGGGCGCTGAAGAGTTAAAAACAGCTGAAGGGACGAAGGCTACTGGAGAAGAAACCAAACCAGCCGAGGAAGCTGGTGGCGAAGAATCCAAGGCAAATGATGAAAACAAGACAGCTAATGAAGCTCCGGGACCCGGCAAAACTGAGACTGGCGAGGAAGAGTCAAAGGCAGCTGATTCAACCGAGTCAAAAGAAGAAACCAAGGCTGGCGAGGAAGCATCAAAGACACCCGATGAAGCCCCAGCAGCTGAAGAACCCAAGGTTGCTGAGGAGGAAACTGAGCCAGTTGAAGAATCGAAGGCGACTGAAGAATCGACACTAAGTGGAGAGGCCCTAACAGCTGACGAAACCAAGATGGGTGAGGGAGGATCAGAGACAACTGACGAAGTACCAACGCTAGCAGCTGAAGAAACTAAGACAGCTGGGGAGGCCCCAGTTAACGAAGCACCGGCCTCAAAGGCTGAAGAAGAAATCAAACCGGCCGAGGAAGCTTCCGCAGTTGACGAATTGAAGGAAGCTGAAGCACCCACTCCGACAACTGAAGAAGTACCACCAGCTGACGTAAGTAAGGTGGGTGAGGACGAGTCGAAAATAGCTGATGAATCCAAGTCAACCGAGGAAACCAAGGTAGCCGAAGAAGCTCCAGCAGCTGAAGAAGCTAAGGCGGGCGAGGAAGGATCGAAGGCAACTAACGAAGCACCAACCCCAGTAGCTGAAGAAACCCAGACTTTTGAGGAAGAAACTAAAGCTTCCGAGAAAGAAAATAATCAGGTTGAAGAAGCCCCGGCAGCTGAAGAAACCACGGAATCTGACAACACCACGAAGACCGAGGAAATCAAGTTAGCTGAGGAAACTCCAGCAGCGGAGTCTAAGCCTGCTGAAGACGAAGCTACGGCTACTGAAGAAGAAACGAAGTCTGTTCCCGAAGAGCAAAGTACACCGGTCGAGGCTGCTACTTCAGATGAGCCTGCGGAAACCGAAAAGATAGCAGATGCCAAGCCAGCTGAAGAAATCAAACCAACTGAGGATGAAACCAACCCAGCCGTAAACAGCAAACCTACCGAGGGGGAAACGCTGGGAGCCGAAGAAACTAAGCCTGTTATCGAAGACATCGAAGTTGTTGAAGAAGAGGGATCGAATATTGGAGCAAGCGAAACGAAATTGCCTGATCCGGTGGCAGAGGAGGGAGGGGAGATCCAAGTACTTCCAGCGGCTGACGACCCAAAGTCAACCGAGGCAACTCCAGTATCCACAGAAGATGAAATCAAACCTTCTGACAAGCCAGATGTGGTGACAAGTATGGGCGAATCAACGGCTTGCGCTGAATCTAAGCCAGAGGGTGAGGATGAGGCTGACGAGTCACCGTCAACGGAGAAATTCGAAACAGCCAACAAGCCTGCTGAAACTAAACAATGTGAAGTTGGGGACGAATCTACTCCTGATGAGCATGGCGAGCGCGAGGGAGAAAGCCCAGCTTCCTTACCCGAGGCGGCAGACCATGAGGACCAGTCAGCCGAGGAATCGATAGAGACCTCAAGCGATAAAGACTCGGCGTCAGACGCGGCTAAGTCGGACGCTACAGCGGATACCTTGGTCGTGGATACGGGCGACAAGACTGAGACTAATGAAGCAGGCTCTGATGAGGGCGAGGATGCTAAGGCTGAAGAAAAAGCTTCCGCAAGTACTGAAGAGTCAGTACAGAAGGAAGAGCTTTCTGAGCCGACCATACTACCAGACGCGGCTGCTGGAGATGACGTAGAGAAGCCTGCCGAGGAAGAAAAGTCGGCCGAAAAGGAGAACCTGGTGGATAACGACAAGTCCGCTGATGAGGAGAAGCCAGCTGAAGAGAAACCAACCGAAGACGAGAAACAGGCTGAGGGCGACAAGTCAACCGACGAGGAGAAGCCGGCTGAAGGTGATAAATCGGCTGAAAGTGAAGAGTCAGCTGAAGAGAAGTCAACCGAAGAAGACAAACTAGCTGAGGGCGATAAGCTAGCCGATGAAGAGAAACCGGTTGAATGTGAAAACCCAGCCGAAGACGACAAGCCAGTTGAAGACGACAAGCCAGTTGAAGACGACAAGCCAGTTGAAGACGACAAGCCAGTTGAAGACGACAAGCCAGTTGAAGACGACAAGCCAGTTGAAGACGACAAGCCAGTTGAAGACGACAAGCCAGTTGAAGACGACAGGCCAGTTGAAGACGACAAGCCAGTTGAAGACGACAAGCCAGTTGAAGACGACAAGCCAGTTGAAGACGACAAGCCAGCCGAAGACGACAATCCAGCCGAGGAGGAGAAGCTAGTTGAAGACGACAAGCCAGCCGAGGAGGAGAAGCCATTAGAAGACGAGAAACCAGCCGAAGATGAGAAGCAAGAGGAGAAACCGGGTGAAGACGACAAGCCAGCTGAACATGAAGTTGAAGACGAGAACAAGGCTGGGGGTGACAAGCCAACTGATGAAGAGAAGGCAGCTGAAGGCGACAAGCTAGCCGAGGAGGATAAGCCATTGGAAAACAAGGAATCAGCTGAAGACAAGAAAGCATCCGAAGATGAGAAGCCTGCTGAGGAGGAGAAGTCGACTGAGTCTGTTGAAAATGAGAAGCCTGTTGAAGAGGAGAAGGTTGAAGAGGAGGAGAAGGCTGCCGAAGATGAGAAGGCTGCCGAAGATGAGCAGGCGGCTGAGTCCGCTGAAGAGGAGAAGCCTGTTGAAAGTGATAAGCCTGTTGAAGAGGAGAAGGTCGAAGAGGAGAAGGTCGAAGAGGAGAAGGCTGCTGAGGAAGAGAAGCCAGCTGAGGAAGAGAAGCCAGCTGAGGAGGAAAAGTCAGCTGAGGAGGAGAAGCCAGCTGAGCCTGTTGAAGACGAGAAGCCTGCTGAGCCTGTTGAAGACGAGAAGCCTGCTGAGCCTGTTGAAGACGAGAAGCCTGCTGAAGACAATGAACCAGCTGAGCCAAATTCTCCCGACAAACCCACGGAAGATTCTGCCGCTGAAATGAAATCTACTGAGCCTGATACCCCACCGGAGGCATCTGTAGAAGCAGCACCGGCTGAGGAGATTCATGCACAAGAAGCGGCGGCGGAAGAAGCCCCAGAAGAATCAATCCCGACAGAGAAAAAGCCTGCAGAGGAGCCAATACCAGCAGAAGCAGCCGCAGAAACCTCAACAGAGCAGAAGGGTGCCGAGGCTGATGCCCCAGCAGACCAGGCGGCAGCAGAAGCAGCACCAGAGGAGGCAGCACCAGTCACGGAAGAGCCTGCTGAAGCATCCCCAGAAGATGCCGCCCCAGAAATTTCAACAGAGGAGAAACTAGTTGAGCCTGATTCCCCAGCAGAAGAAGCCTTAGCAGAGCCGGTGCCAGCGGAAGAAAAGGGTGCAGAAGCAGCCTCGGCAGAAGAAGCTCCAGAAGAAATAGCTCCTACGGAGGAAAAGTCTGCTGAAGTGTCTCCGGAAGAAGCAACCCCAGCGGACGAGAAGCTTGCCGAACCCCAACCCCAACCAGAGGAAGCACCAAAGGAAACTCCTGAGGAGAAACCTGCCCCTGAGCCAATTAAACCAAAGGAATCAGAGGATGAAACAGCCAGAAGGAGGCGGCGCTCTTCTCGCGCACTGCCCATCGATGAGAAAACCAGAGATCGGTTTAGGAGAGGTAAGCCATAAATATATCGAAGAACTCTGAATCTGAGGGAGATAGCGCCTTTGTTATAAGACGTTTAACTGACATGTCGCTCTATAGAAGAGACACGCAGGTCGTCACGAACTGATCGAGATAGGGATAGAGATCGAGACCGAGACCGGGAGAGAGATAGAGATAGAGATAGGGACAGGGAGAGAGATAGAGAAAGAGACAGAGACAGAGACCGGGACAAGGACAAGGACAGGGACCGACACAGAGAGAAAGATAGGGATCGAGATCGAGAACGTGAGCGGGAGAGAGACAGAGACAGAGACAGAGAAAAAGACCGCGACCGGGATGGAGAACGCCGCCGGAGACATCGCCACTCTCACCATTCTGACAGAAGCAAAGGTGAGGGTGAGCCGAAGGAGAGCAGGCGACGATCGTCCCATCATCGTCACCACCGGGAGGATATTCCCGAAGAGCCAATCCCGAAACCGACACAGCAAACCCCACGCCGACGGGATAGCGGCTTCTCAGCTGATAGTTCTGGTAGCTCTAGCCGTCGCCAACGAAGCGCTGAAGAGCAGGAGGCCCATGAGAAGCGAAAGGCAGAACGACGAGCAAGGGACATGGAAAGAGAAACGCGCGAATTACCGCGTTCTCGAGACGGCAAAAGCAAAGAGCATGATTATCGAGAAGTCCCACGCTCCAGAGACGGTAAAACAAAGGAGACGGATCAAAATGATCCTCCACGCTCCAGAGACGGCAAAACAAGGGAGATGGGTCAAAATGACCCTCCTCGCTCCAGGGACGGTAAAACAAGGGAGATGGAGCAAAACAACCCTCCTCGCTCCAGAGACGGCAAGAGCAAGGAACAGGAATCTGTCCGATTTAAAGAGCCCAAGCCAGAGGAAGGCGAACGTCGTCACCGGCGTTCCCGCAGGCATAGTCACGCGAGCCATACGTCTAGACCGGAGCCTGCCAAGGAACCACCAGTGTCGGACCGAGACATTGAAAAAGAAGAGGAAGTCCTTCCAGAGAAGAAGTTTTTCGGAATGAAGAACGCACAAGGTGTATTACGAAGCAGTAGCTCAACACCACCGACCCGTGAGCAGGTGGCTGCACCGGAGCCTAGTCCCGAGGAGCCTCCGCTGGATGAAACCCCAAAGAAGCACAGAAGCTCGCGACATAGACACAGCTCTAGCAGACAACCTCCCGAGGAACCAAGGCCCCGGTCTAGCAGAAAACAGGAGGCTCCCTCAGAAGAGCGAGGCAAATCGAGCCGTGGCCCGCCCGAGGATGCCGCTCGCAAAGCGAGGTCTTACGAGAGAAGGAAAGCAAGGGAGGAAGAAAAGAAGCCCACTGGCATCAAGGCCGCGTTCAAGAAGCTGTTTTCAAGCTCTTGAGTGGGCAATCAGGCTCACGACGATATGAATTCATGCTATCTCCTATATTTGGGGATCTGTATAACGACTGTATGACGATAACTTTGCGGACTCATTGAAAGATTTCATTAGTTAACTTGGAGCGAATGCCGGACAACGGGAGCTTTGCGATTTCTATTTAGCGTGTTAACATTTCATTTTTATACAATTTACTATTCATCACCTTCACCACCTTGAAGCCACCAAATTCCGCTCACGCTTTTTCCCGTTGACTGGCTGATTCACGCACAATAACTCGTACATCGATGCGTGCCAATATGCCACTAAATGACGTGATGCAGATAACGAAACCTTGCGCATACTTCAGTGATGCTTCAAATACGAACAAGGCTTTAGCGTGGACATCAATTGGCTTCGATGATGCATTCGTATTATACCTTTATGTAAGTTTCTCCGAACCTGGAAATTCTTTTGTGTGCACATTCGTGATTCTCAAAGAGAGAGAGTTGGCGCTATCCAGCATGGCTCTGAAAAGATACGAATACACGAGAGAAGCCGGGGCCAAGTCGTCTTCGATTCTCATGCTCTCGTATCTACTGAGCCGCCATAACCTGCCAAGCTTCGGCCATCTTCCTAGTTTACTCCAGCGTTGACTTCGACGACACTTGATCAGGTTTAATGAAATCAGCCATCAAAACCAAATTGTTGGTGTTGAGGATAGTTGCCAGTCCCGCGTTGTTGGCCTTTGGGTGCTAGACAGCTGAAATCCAGGTATAAATAGACCTGCTACATCCAGCGTTCATCTATATGCCGTTCAACCATCGATCGTCTCATATCTGGTCAACAATCCATCCTTCGAAATGAAGTTGCCTCTGATTGCTCTCACTGCCTTATTGGCAGTGGCTCACGCTGCCCCTGTCTCTAGAGACTCGGCAGTTACTCCGCGGTACGACAGAAAAATGCGAAAGCCAGTTGTTAGATGGTGAATCAGCTGACTCTTGATGTAGTAGAGGCAATTGGCTAGATAAAAATAAGGCAGAGTTGATTTCTCCCTTCAACAAGGATGGGGGCTATTACTTCCCTGTTTACTCTGATGATGAGAGGGCCGCAATTGGGGAAATCTCCAGCGATTTTGGTGAGCCGGTGCTCGTCACATCTATCATGAGCCGAGAGCACTTGAACTAAATGAATGCAGGCCAATTCATAAATGCCCTGCGTAAATATTATTACAAAAAGGCGGCGACAAAGAAGACTCCCAAGAAGAAGAAGGTTCCTAGGAAGAAGGCTCCTAAGAAGAGACCTGCTCCGACCGCTTCTATTGAGAAGCCCGCCCCCATTCGGAAGGAAGCTCCTGAAGAGGTGCCCGTCAAGAGGCCCGCCCCCATTCAGAAGGAAGCTCCTGAAGATGTGACCATCAAGAATCCTGCCCCCATTCAGAAGGAAACTCCTGAAGATGTGACCGTCAAGAAGCCTGCTCCCGCTCAGGAGGATACCTCTGTCAAGAAGGATAGCACTGATACTCCTCCGAAGGACACATCTACTCCCAAGGACATCTCTACTCCCAAGGACATCTCTACTCCCAAGGACATAACTACTCCCAAGGACACATCTACTCCCAACACATCTACTCCCAAGGATATCTCTACTCCCAAGGACATCTCTACCGAGAAGGACACATCTACTCCCAAGGACACATCTACCCCCAAGGACATATCTACTCCTAAGGACACATCTACTCCTAAGGACATATCTACTCCCAAGGACACATCTACTCCTAAGGACACATCTACTCCGAAGGATAGCACACCTGCTGAGAAGGATACTTCCCAAAAGGACAGTCCACCCAAAAGTCCTACACCTTAGGCTCAGGCCGGCAGTTGTTTGAAGCCGTGTAGTGGTGCTTGTTCAAGTTGAAAAAAGATAAGATGGAAAGGGGGAAGATTGTCAAAACTCTTCCGAACTAATTGGATTGGAAACGTCAAGGGTGGAGGTTGCGATGCGAGAAAGGGATCCTGCTAGTAAATACGAGAATAGTTTGAGCTTATTTCGATTAGTCTGGTCTTATTTGAAACGAATCCTGAATTAAATGATGATAAATTTATTTGTCCAAGGTCTCTCTATCTCATACTGTTCGTCTTCGGAAACCTCGACGGCTCGTAATAGCATGTGGACTTAGAGGCACTGAGTTTCATTTCAACTACATCGATAACCATGGCAAATTTGGCTATCGACACAATCAAGATGATTAGTATGTAACGGTTATGGATCCGTTTTTGCTTTCGCTTTCTTCCTCTTCTTCTTATCTTGGATTTCAAAAGCGACCGCACGAATTACTGGCGAGTAGATGTCGTGAATGCAGGAGAATGCAGCAAGGTCACGTGACAGAAAATAGAGGCCAAATGGGAGAATGCATGTGCACCGGCACCCGGCATATGTGTTTATCCGGCGCAACCCTAATTTTCAGCCATTTTCCCATCCCACCTAAAAGTTTTGGTGAAATTCCTCGAAAAAGTTAGTCCCGTAACGACAACTACCACAAACATCTCCATTTCCAGGCGCAGGATTCAATTTCTTTGCGTGTTATACCACTCAACACATCAACAATGGCTCCTCAAACAGTATGTACATGACACCGCTTTGCTGGCAAGGCTCTCCCTCCCTGCCCGCCTTCGTCTCATGAAGGCGGGCAGGAGCGAGAAGCCATCAAAAAGTGCAGTAGGCTAAGGTCAATTTTTCCCGATCACAGAAGAAGGCTGGCAAGGTCCAGAAGCAGACCAAGAAGGTAAGAAGACATGCGCGGGACAAACCACCAATCCCCCAATTCGATCCAGGGCGCAATTGAGTACAAGTTTGCTAACAACCGTGCTCCCGCAGTACATCATCAACGCTTCTCAACCCGCCAACGACAAGATCTTCGATGTCTCCGCCTTCGAGAAGTTCCTCCAGGAGCGTATCAAGGTCGAGGGCCGCACCAACAACCTCGGCGAGACCGTCGCCATCTCCCAGAAGGGTGATGGCAAGATCGAGATCATTGCCCACAACGACCTCTCCGGCCGCTACCTGAAGTACCTGTATGCTCCAACCCGGACTCTCCCCCACGATCATTGCGCAAATGGTTCTAACTCATATCCCACAGCACCAAGAAGTTCCTCAAGAAGCAGCAGCTCCGTGACTGGCTCCGCGTGGTCTCCACCTCCCGTGGTGTCTACGAGCTCAAGTTCTTCAACGTCGTTAACGACGAGGTTGACGAGGACGACGAGTAAAGAAACCCAAAAAATCGGCGTGAGGACTGGTCTCGCACAACGATGGATTATGAGCATTTATTGGGAAGCGTGGTTCTATTAGGCGAAACGGTCTAGTTGGGATTTCTACATAGCTCTCTACACATTCAATAATCATACCATTTGAGTGGTGTCCTGGAAACAAAAAAAAAAACATTCTCATACCCAAGCCAAAATGCTCTGATGATCGCTCCCCAATGCATGAATGAATACAAACTTTTCAACCTTCTCGTACTTTACCCCGCTCTACAATCTCAGACTTTCGTATACGAGGTCCTCGTATGCCAGCCATGCCCACTCGACTCACTCCCTAAAGAGTCCTCATCACACCCTCCCACACCAACAATGCCATCGCGTTGGCCGGGAAGGCCCGCAGGAAGCACGGCAAGAACCCCCTCCAGTAGCCCCTGAGCCCAGACTCCCTGTACACGGTCCTGGCCGCGTCCGTCCACCTGTGAAACCTGCGCTCGCCGTCGCCCAGCCCCTTGCCGAGCGGGTCGGTCATGATGCGCTGCTTCACCAGGTCGCTCGGGTAGCTGGTGAGCCAGAAGACCTGCGCGCTCAGGCCGCCCGCCCAGAAGTTGATGGCCGGCGTGCTCATCTTCGTGTTGTCCCGCATCCAGCGCGAGAAGATGTCGTAGCTGCTCCACCAGCAGAAGAAGAAGGAGCGGAAGATGAGCGTCGCCGAGAGGCCGTGGAAGACGCCCCTGACGCCGTGGTGGCGGTAGATCTTGGTGAGGCAGTCGACGGGGCCCGAGTACAGCCGGTCGGACTTCCTGGCGGCGTACTGGATCTGCAGGCGGGCCTTGATGTGCTCGACGGGCGCCGCGATGAAGCTCACGGTGGCGCCGGCGCACATCCCGGCCAGGCCGTGACCTGCCGCGGGGAGCGAGGGCTTGTCCACGTGGAAGACGTGGGTGGCTATGAGGCGGCGGTACACGTTGAGCGAGCCCATCAGGATCGAGTCCATGAACATCCAGCCCAGCAGCGGCGGCGTGGCTCCCTTGTACAGGCCGCGGAAGCCCTCCTGGCTGATGGTTTGCATAGCACATTGGAGCGGCCCGCGGAACCTGGTGGCGTCTGTGGTCTGCATGCGTACCTTGACCGTATCAAAGGGATGCCCAACTAAGTTCGAGGTGTCAATGCCATTCTTCTCTGATTGTATGTCGATATACGAAGCGTGTTCTCTCACCTGTCAACTTTGCAACACCGCTGAAGACTCCAGCGACAAACCCCTTGTAGTCATGAGCCGACGATGCCTTCTTAGAAGGCTGATCCAGCACGGCGACTGGTGTGATGGCGGCCGCCTGGGCACCAGCTGCCGTCACTGGCGCACTTGAGGGTGGCATTGCAATAAAATCTCGATCAGCCGACGAACACCATCAATAAGAGCTCCCGCGGTTGTCCACCGTGTTCTCCAAGGATGGCGTCGGAACGCGCTGCGGATGGTTGCTGGATGCGATGTCGGAGGCAAACTAGCTAATGCCCTCCGTTGCTGCAGTTGAGGTAAGACGGAGACAAGGATTTATTCCTTTCGAGTACGTCAGAGATGATAGCTCTTTATCAACTAAAACTACTCGGAGATAAGGTCAATGATCTGACCAGCTGCAGAAGAGAAGAGGAGAATGGGACCCAAGAAATCGGCAAGGAGCATCTCATACCGCCTCTATCTTCATGCTGCTTGCTATAAACCTCTTCGGGTGAATCTGCGAGTGTGCTTACTTGCCATCGGCTCCAGCACCCACCTTACAAATATGGTCCAGAATAATAATGCGAAATTCACAGAGGGCTATTGGGCCGACCAGTGGGGGATAGCCCTCAAAAGAGACAAGTCTTGCGGGTACGATTATTCTATCGCAACGCTACACTGGTACTAGGGTTCACTGTTATCACATAGGTATCGAGTCTGCACAGAATAGAGCAAAACACATCATCGAGCCCTGTCACCAGTATCATCCATCACAATCTGTGAGAGTAGAGTATGCCATTGTATTATGTATTGAAGCTTAACCGCTTCTCTCTCGTCGCCGTGGCGCTATCTACTGCTGAAATGCAATCATGTCGTCCCCTTTCTAAGACTATCATCCGCTCCGAAACCTTGCTTTCGCTAATCTTTCCCGCCCTTCTCCTTGTCGTTTCGTTCCCATTGGTATTTCCTAAAGCACAAATGTACACAACGCAGCGCTTTTTGCAACTAGATAACCATGTCATATCGTCGTGAGCAATGTGTTAAGACAAAAACTGAAACCCCTCCGCTCTCATCCTTCGTTTAAAAATGCTCTGATCGGCCCGGCTAATCCTGGCATAAAGGATCTCCCCGAGTACGTCAATGAGCTGCTAATTAATCCAATATACGGATCTTTCCCGTTTTTTTTTGGGTATCGTTTTTTTGTTGTTTCATGATATTGTTCCTTCTTCAAAACAGAAGGTGTCTGTGACAGTCGATGTATGCGGATGACATCGCGAGTAATTGTTCATGTGCTGTTTAGTCAACACGTTTGAAAAGCCAGTCGTAGCGTTCACCACGGCGGACCTCTGCCTAAAACGTGTCCGTCTCATGGCTTGCAACGGAGCCAAAAGTATCTATGAGTTATACGTTAGCTAAGGCCTCTAGCACACACACATAAAAGGGCACAAACCTCTCTTTCGGCGTTTTTCCTGGTCATCGTCGTGATTCTTTGGTGTCATTGCACGTGGTCCACTTGGCCTGCGGGTAGGGGCACCAAGGGCCGCATTGAGATTGCGATTTTCTGGCTTGGGGCTGCCAGTAGGGGAAGTGTAGCTGTAGCCATCATCATAAGTCTGGCTTAGGGGACTGCCCTTTGCCAGTCGTGAGATACGGGCCTTGGCAGGGGTAACACCCGGTGAAGCGTCTAGTGGCTCCTTGGGTGGACGAGGAGGCCCAGAGTTACTACCGGGAGATGTTGGCCAGTTCTCTGCCTCCCGCGTAGCAGATACAGGTGACGCAGGAGTCTCACTGTACCTCGAGGCGCCGTGCTGCATTCTATTGAGGCTTGTCACGGAGCCGGCCCAATCGGCGGACTTGGGAGTCATTGGGTCATTGTATTGTTGAGCTGAGGTTTCTAGTGCGTTCCGGTAGCTCTGTCCAGGACGGGGTTGGGGATGCTGTAGATTCAGCGAGTTTCGATGAGCCCTGTACTTGGGGTCCTCTGTCCCGGAGGTCGACGACTGGAACGGTTGCTGCGACGTCCCTGCCTGGCTTGTTGGGGCGAGACTAGGGTCTGAGAATCCGGTGCGAAGCTTGTCTTCACCATATGGATCATGCTCGTACCCTTGAGCATCATAGGAGCCCAAGCTTGATCCTGAGCGAGAAGGAATTGGCTGGTCATCATACTTGGCATCCTTCTTACCGCTACCACGTAGAGCTCTTCCCACGCTTGTTGCAGTGCTTTCAGACCATCGTGAGATCTTTGGTAGCCAGCCAGAGGAGCTGCTCGACTTGTGTTTTTTTCCCTTTTCAGTTCGAGGAGTGTTGTCGGCACTCAAAACCTGCTGGCTTTGTGGGGATTGTTGCAACGGACTACCGGGTGGTAAGGAGCCGCCTCGGGGGGTTTCATCGAG